TGGTGTCCTTTGCTGGGGGGAGGGCCCTGGGGCCCCCTTAAGGGATGGGACCTTGGGGTAGAATGGGTAGGGCTAGAGGCAGCCTCCCCCCCACACACACTCCCAGCAGCGTTCCCTGTAATCTGTGCACTGTGCAGCCACTCAGGAGGGATTCAAATGCTGCACAGCTGATTAGCAGAGTGCCCACAGCTATGTTTTTCATTTCTACTGGTGGTGAACATTCACACATGCCTCAGTGCACATTAAACTTTTTCTGTACTTGAATGGAAAAAATTTGCGCATGGATGCAAAAATTAGAGAACATTACCAGCCAGTTCTTCACCTCTACTTAGAACCTAAATTGGATAATGTGCGACGAGGTCAGGGTTGCAAATAAAGGGGAGAAGACTTCGGCCTGAGCTACACTAGAGAGCTAGGTCAGCATAACCAGGACTCGCCGAACCACGGTGAGCCCCGCTCACCAGCCGCGCTTGTCCAGCAATCTGCGCATGGGCAGACTGTTCTGCGCATGCACAGATCGCCCGAACCCGGCTCTTCCGGGTTGCAATCTACTCGCCACGGGCAAGTAGACTGTATTATTTGTCAAGCCCTGAGCATAACTATATTGCTCAGGGGGTGTGAAAAAGGTATGCCTGTGAGAAGTGTAGTGAAGATGATCTAAGCCCCCATATTGACAGAATTCTTCCATTGCCTCTTGGGGAGTTGGATTACCTATGCTGACAGGGGAAACCCTCCATCAGCGTAGGTAGCATCTACACAGATAAAACATACTCACTGCAGTGTAACTCAAGGAGTGGTGCACACTTTTTCTTTTAAAAAATTCCTTAAACTGATTCAACATGCATCTGTAACACTGCCTTCAATGACTCCAGAGTCCGAGTACCATCCTCAAGGCCAACTGTTAAGAACCAGGGCACGAACCCCCCAAATGGCTGGGAGTTGTATACCTAGATTTCACCAACCAAATATCAAGTGTAAACACCTCTAACAGTAGAACAACCTTTACACAGAATCACAGACAGTCCCACTGGCTACTCCAGGCTCTCTCACCATCCAGGGGTCTGCTTTGGTTCCCTTTGTGACAGATGGTCCCTTCCATCAATATTCAGGTTACTCCCTCTCCTAAGGGCTCATCTAGACCACAGTGAAGTGCCGAAAGAGCTCTGTGGGAATTTGCATGTCTTCTTTCAAAAGTGAAAGTACTTTGGACGTGGCTTTTTTCGGCAAACCCCCTACACTTTTTTCAAAAAGCTGCTTTTCCTCAAAAAATGAGGTTTACGTGGCTTTTCGAAAAGGGGGGAGGAGTTCGCCGAAAAAAGCCGCGTTCAAACTACTTTCAAAAGCTCTGCTTTTGAAAGTGATATCGGAAGAAGATATGCATTTACATTTCCTCTTTCGGCACTTCCGTGTAGTCTAGATGAGCCCTATAAGAGCAGGCAGTCACTTCAGGTCAATCACACTTTAGAATGAGATCTTATATCAAAGGCAAGATTTGTATCCAGTCCTATAATAAATCTTTATGTAGTTTATTACATAAAAAAAAAAGAGACAGTAATTTACAAGGTCAAAGCAACTAAACTTATATACACAAATGAAGTACAATCTTACATTTCAAAAAGTAAGAGAATCTTATATAATATGAAAGCCCTGCATGGACACTGAGTCTGATCCATTATGGCAACTCCTATGTTCTTATCTATTCTAATTTCCATTCCCTGTTTTCCCCCCAACCCATATAAACAACTCATTCCTGTCCTTTTCCCTTAGTCAACTCAGAGTTCTGCCACTTTTTCACATATATGTACCTTCTCCATTTCCAAACAGTTTATCCAGCAGTTTTCATTCTATGGTGACTAAGGGGTCCGTGAAAGGTTATCGTTACCACAGAGGAGTGATTTTTAACCAGGGGTCTGCAGACTATGTTCAAGATTTCCAAAGAGGACAGCATCTCCATTTGAAATTTTTCAGGAGTTCACAAATGAAAAAAAGTTGAAAACCACTGCCTTTCTTTGCACTAGTGATGGCTAAAACTCAAATACACTAGCTCAATAGATTGAAATAGAGAGTGGAGAATAAACATCACAGACTTAATAAAGTGTGTCAATAACTTTGCCAGTCATTTACACTCACTTCTTCATATGTTGTCTATTAAGATGAGATTGATGGCATTATATGATAGCAAGCCCTATGCCAAAGCATCTAGTGTACTATTGGTGTTATTGAAAACATGGAAAATTGTAGTACAGTGTCCAAATAATGCACCTGAACCTAGGCATTTTGTCTAAGGGAGATGGGGGTAGGGAACTATTGTTGAGGCCACTGGTGCGCTTTTAAGTGTCGGAACACTCACTTAGACAAAGTACTGGTGTTTTTACAATTGTCTTCCATATACATATCTAAGTTAAACTTTGCTTTGAGTTGGTTGTTATGGCCACCAAGTGTCTCAATTTTGGCATGAAATACTAAAAAACTTTTTCCTTTTGTTTGGAGTTATTTTATTAGCCTCTGGACTACTGCTCATCTGAAGTCCAACCTATGTTTTTATTTGCTAAGCATGGACTGTGAGCTCAGGAGGACACGAGGAAGACATGTTCCTTGCCTTCATGAGTTTTACCATCTAAAGCCATTTCTCCACAAGGGCATTCTGAGTGGGCATTATGGTTCACCCTCACCTTAAAAAAATCAGGGCCAGCATAGACAGATAATTCAAATCAAACCCAAGAGCCACTGGCCCACAGGCCTACAGTTTCTTGTAACTGGCCATCACCAGAAAAATCTTCATCCCTATATAAAGACTGCCTATTCTACATCTAGCAAAGCTAGATTTAAAATACTTTTGGGATGGTTGGAATTCAAACTAGTTTGGGGGAAGAGAGCCTTTTGCTTCAGTTTCAAGCATCATGGTCAAACTCAGTATTTGCTTTCATTTTTTTAGTTGAATAAGGATTCATTAGCCTCACTTCTCAGATATGATAAATTAATCTCCAAAGCAGCTGTTTGACTCACAGAGCCTAACCATAGTCCCTCAATACAAGTACTTTTCCTGGCTTCTGTACAGCACAAATAATATTCCTTGCTTGTTGGAATTCAATGGCTCCGCTCCATCCCTTTTCTATTTTTGACTCCACCTACTTAACAGCTGCACTCAGGCAATTAACACACACTCACAAGTTGTTCCTTATTGTGTTAAGTATTTTATGGTTTTGCTCAGTTTAGCAAAGCAAATCCCTTCAGCACTGCTGGGGAGCTGGGAGCATTTTAGGAACCACTTCCAACTAATCAAAGAATGTTTTTCAATTACGCTAGGATGGGTCTCAAAACAATCTTCTCCAAGAGAGAAGAGAGGCTTTAAACACTAATCATGCCTGTCAGAAATTGGCATGCAGATTCCATAAAAGGCATGCTTCTTGCAAGATAGTCGAGAGAAAGAGAGAGCGAGAGAGCGAGCAGTGGCATGGTGATATACCACTTTTTTCATAGACAGCAGTCTTGCACACACTTGCACCAAAACGGTGCAAAATAAAAAAAAAGAAAGATTTTCCAAAAAGTCTGATATTGACAGAAATAAAGAAAAGGTTGTTCTGCTACCCAACCAACTGTAATTAGAATAACTGTTTGTAGCAACAGTTTTGCATGTAGACCAGTTCTTGAAGTAAGGCTGGGTTAGACACACCAAACCATTGATGGTCAGTGAAGGTAGGACTGGAGGAAGCAAGCCCCCAGCCCTACTCCCAACCCAGCCCCACCCCTTCCAGTGAGGCCCCACTCTAACACATGCACACCCCCACTACCATAGGGAGGTGACCTGGGACAGGGAATTGGGGAGTGAGAGAAGGTGCGGTGCCAGAGGAAGGCTCTGGCCAGGAGGCATTTATCTTAGGCAGCTCCCAGCCAGCAGCCCAATGGGGACCCCCAGGCAAGCTTCCTGCTTGCCACAGCCCCAGGCTGCTCAAAACAGATGGAGGCTCCCACCTTGTGCTACTCTGAGCTGCATGCCCCTGGAAGAGGTAGGGCACAGGGGGGAGATTTTGCCCACTGCCCCTGCCTTCAGCCCAAATCATTGCATCTGATCATCAGATTCCAGGCAACGGGAGCTGCAATGATTGGCCAGGGGAAAAGGCAACACAGAAAGTCTCTCCTCCCACTCCCCGCCAGGGTGGGCGGTGGCTAGAGGGAGCCATCAGCCATTTTGAGCAGCCCCTAGCTGCAGCAGGAGAGCACCTGCCTTGGGATCTTGGAAGAGTGGGCCGCAAGCCAGATTAAAAGGCCTTGCCCAACCTTATACTAAATGCAGGATTAACATAGGTTGTCATAATTTCAAGTTTAATTTGGAAGGTTTATTTTTTAAAAGAAAAATGTATTTAATTACAAAATCCCTTATTAACTGATTTGTATGCATTAATCTCTTTTCAGAACGTAACATGTAAAAAGGCACCTCATTCGGCATATCTGCCACGTGTGTCTGGTCAAGATTTTACTTCATTTAAAATAAGTTTTTTTATGGGTTTCTATTATTCTTTGTAATGCAAGGTCAACACAGTAGAAAAGTTGTAATCTGATCTAATCAAATCCTTCTTGTACTCTGAACAGCATGATTGCCATTCCGTTTGCAACTGAGCTCTCAATAGGGTTACACAGGTATAAATATGGAATGGTGCACGGCCTGCATAGCATCAGCATCTCTCTTTCACACCGAGGCAGAGAGAGGTTACACTGCAATTTACAGTCTTGTATGCCTCGCAAAAATGTCTCAGTGACACAGCCACTTCAGGAGTTGCACGCCTACATCAGCAAACTGAGTTTCACACTCCAAACACTTGCTAAGCAGACCTTAGGCTCAAAAGTGAGGGAACAAAGTACAAGATTCTGGGGGTTTATTTTTCTTATTTAGTGCAAAGGAAATAAACCAAACAAGAAGTATAAAGAATAAAACAGCAGAAGAGGAAGGTTGAGCTAAGAAATATATGCTAAAAACTCACCAAAAAGTCATGGTGGCTTACCTTGACCCAGCCCACAAGGCTTGGGGATTGCCCCACTGCACAGTGGGGTGAGACAGTGTTGGTGCTTCAGCCACATGGGGGTGGATCAAGGCAAGCCACCGACTGCATACATTACTCAGGCTCTTCCTGGCAAGGGGAGGAAGCCACTCTGCACCAGAATGGCAGTGCAGGGAAGCTCTCCCCCCTGTGTCGGCTTGCAGGCTCCTCCCCCATAGCTCCCATTAGCTGGGAACTCCTTTCGTTTCAAAGGGGCAGGGCTGCATGGAGCTCAGGATCAGCTGGGGTCTCCCCAGCTGACCCTGGGCTCCCTCGCTTTTACCTTTGAAGTGTTGCTACACTAGAGCTGTTGCTACACTTCAAAGGTGGAGGCGCCCTACTGACTAATCAAATAGTTGATGCAAAAATTCATCAACTATTCGATTAGTCAATTAACTGATAGTCTTAACATCCTTAGTCTACAGTGCTGTTTTTAACCCCATTCCCTGTAGAGCAAGCCCAATGCAGTTGACCCAGGCTCCAAGACTCCCTGCGAGGGAGGGAAATTGCAGTATAAACACACTCAGAAAACAAAAACAAGTCAAGACAAAAACAGATTGGCTACCTAATATGAAACCAAGTTCCATGAGTACTTTCAGCAACTCACTGAAGGCCAATCAAGGAGACTTTGAAAACGGTAGACTAAAACACTGGCTCCCAAGGCCATAAGGGACAGCACTTTGCTCCAGCTCTATTGCAACACAGGAAGTTATCCCAGGGATGAGTGAAACCGAACACAACTCAATTTCTAATTGCATATACACTAGGGATGTTAAATTTAGATTAACTAATCAAATAGTCGATGGGATTTCCATTGACTATTCGATTAGTCTATAAGGGTGCCTCCACCTCTGAACTACAGCAAGAGCCTTGATTGGCTCTTGCTACAGTTCAAAAGCGGAGGCCCTGCAAGAAGTGCGGAACCAGCAGAGGACTTTCGCTGGCCCTGTGCTCTTGCTGCACTTCAGTACATTTCAAAATCAGAGTCACAGCAGAAACGGTGCAAACGGAGACTGCTTCAGTCCCCACTGATGCCATTTTCTGCTGTGCCTCTACCTCCCCTCCCCGCCATGGAGATGGTGCTAGGGGGAACCGGCTTTTAACATACAACACAAGAGAATATTATTGCCATCAATATTTGCATAGTAGATAGTACTATTGGGCAAGTTTGGTTTTAATTTAAATCAACCTTAGAGTAACAGTGTCCCTTTAAAAAAATCATCTTACAGAATGTGTTTTCCCTCTGTAATTTGAATGAAACTGAAGTATTTTTAAAAAAATGCGAGTTCAACTTACATAGCATCATATTATGGCTAACCATTATTGTTTGTATAACTCCGTAATGCCAGAAATGATCTAGAACAGTGGCTAACTGATGTTGCAGAACCGACAGAGTAGCAAGTGCTGCTTACAGGCTTCCAATCATAAGAGTGATATTTTTGATGGGGGAGGTTAAATCATTTCCCATTCTCTGTTTAGCATTAATAATCCCACTAACACTATAGAACTGAAATATGAATTGTTTTACCATTTCTCTCTACCCTCAAAATTCACATATACAAACACCCATGTTGTTATAAAATTCCCCGTTCTTACTGGACAGCTGTTTTTAACTACATAAAGAAGTTTACATAAACTTTGCAAATACATAAACTAGCCCAGTGACATTATCCTTTTATGCTTTAGACCAATGGTCCCCAACACGGTGCCCATGTGAATGGTGTTTGTGTTTGGTACAATTACAGTAATTCCTCGCTTAACACGTGCCCGCTTAACACGTTTTCGTGATAGCACAATTTTTTGGGGGGAAACATTTTTCGAACGACACAACCCGTCCCTGCAATAACACGATTTCCCCTAGGGCCAGCCGGCAGCTGCACGAGGCTTTCCCTGCAAATCGGCAGAGGTTCTCCACCCTCCGTGCTGTTCCCCGGCGACCCCCTCTGGCCGGATGCCTCGCTCCCTCTCCTATGCCCCCCGCTTGCAGCGGGTGGCTGTTTCCCCAACGCGCCGGTTAACCGCAGCTGCGTGGTGCTTCATCTGCCTCCTTACAAAGCGGCAGAGGTTCTCCGCTCGCCATGCTGTTCCCCGGCGACCCCCTCTGGCTGGATGCTTCGCTCCCTCTCCTCCGCCCCCTGCTTGCAGCTGGGTTTCCCCAGCTCGCCGGTCACTGGCAGCTGCGCGGGGCTTCATCTGCCTCCTTACAAAGTGGCGAGGTTCTCCACTCACCATGCAGTTCCCCGGCCAGAGGGGGTCACAGGGGAATGGCGAGGCAAGCGGAGACCCTCCGGAGGCAAAGTAAGCCCCACGCAGCTGCCGGTGACCGGCGAGCTGGGGAAACCGAGCTGCCAGCTGCAAGTGGGGGGCAGAGGAGAGGAGCGAGGCATCCAGCCAGAGGGGGTCGCTGGGGAATGGTGCGGCGAGCAGTGAACCTCCGGAGGCAGGGTAAGCCCTGCGCAGCTGCCGGTGACTGGCCAGCTGGGGAAACCCAGTCGTGGGCTGCAAGCCCCCTCCTCTGCCCTTCCTTTTCCTTCCCCAGAGCCAAACACCTTCCCTCCCTGCTATAACCCAGTCCCCTTTCTCCCCCAACCTTGTGTCCCGGTCCCAGCTGCTAACAAATGCAGGCTGGAGCTGAAAGTGCACGTGCACTTGCAACACAACCCCCACCTTTTACATTATTTTCAATGGGAAAATTGACCCCGTATAACACGTTTTCACTCTGCATGATCATTTTCTGAAACGTATCTACCGTGCTGGGAGAAGAAGCGAGATATTTAATGAACACCTACTGTAAGACACCACCAGTAATAAACAGCAGATGGTAAGGAAAGCCAAAAATTGAACATCTCAAATCTACTCAGTTTTTCAGACTCTTCAAAACCAACTTTGCATACTGATGTACACAGTTATGAATTAAATAGTGGAGCATCTTGATGCCTGAGACTTTACTTATCTTGCTTCCTTTATATGGTTGAAATTCACTGATTGACCAAAGATGAAAAAAAATCTCTCAGTAAATGAATGAGTACAAATTTATAAAATAATTCTGTGCATGGTAAACTCTAAAAACTCTACATGATAAACTCTACTTTCCTGATACTGTGCTTGAATGATGCACCATCCCACTCCACAGGCTTTATAGATTTAAATACAAGACATTTGCTTCTTTTTTTTTTTTTTTTAAACTGCCACTTGTAACAAGAGCTGATAAAAAAAACTAATGTTTCATGGAGGTCTTCCTCAAATAGTTGTAAGTTTTTCAAAAAAGCTTACAAGTAGTTCTGTCAGCTTCCTTCCACTGTCTTCTTTAGATCCATGTCTATCACAGCAGCTAAGAATCTGGCCCCCAAATTTGCTTAACTATTAGCACACCAAAATTTATTCACATTTGACATGTCATCTGGCCCTTACAGCCAAAAATATTAAATAGAACTAGCAAACTTTGATACGTCTGTTCATTCAATAGAGCTCTATTTCTATTCTTGTCGGATTCTTAAACCAGATTATCCAAGTGGCTTTCCGAAGTACATTAAGCAACATTATTAATATTTGCCAAGCTGGTTCCGGGAGCAACACGAACTGCGGCTCTGCATTTTAAATGTAGTAAGAGCAGCCGGTCTCTCACTACATTTAAAATGTAGAGGCACAGCATCCCAATGCAGTTCTTCATTTTAAATGTATTAAGAGCCCGGCGGCTTCTAATACAAAGTCCCTCTCAGATCCCACATTCTCCAGTACCCTTCCCTGACCTCCCTTCTGCACCCAACTTCTGTCCAAGACCCCACATCCCCTCCATAGGAAAATGCAGCCCTTTACCACTTACCAAAATCTTGGAGTACCCCTCCATCAAAAATTACTGCCCAACCTTGATCTAGGGTGAGGAATAATTTGATTCATTAGAAAACTGGTTACAAGTTTAGGTTGTATGCTTAGCTTTATTTTCTTAGTAGACTGCTTTGTTCTGATTCAACCCTCTTCAACCACTTAAACCACACTTTTGTAGTTATTAAAGTTATTTCTTGTGTATAATATAACCCAGTTTATGTAATTTCTAACGGGGGAGGAGGGTTGTGCATACCTTCCTCCATGTCGAGGGAGGAGGTGAATTTCATATAATTTGGGGGTTATACTCCAAGGGAGGTGGACTCTTGATTGCTGTGACTCTTAAGCTCAACCTTCCCAGGGCTGATATCAGTGTCTATATCATTCTGTAGTTGGGTGTGCTCCTGCCTATGTCTACACTAAAGGAGGTTTAAGAGCCTGGCTCAGCAAGACAGGGTTAAAGGTAGCTCGGCTGGCAGAAAAGGCAGATTCAGCTTCTCAGGTGACATTCTAAGGGACAGAAGTCCCTCACAATTATATATGATTCATTTCATTATAGAAATCATTCCAATATTTTGGTTTGGGTCACAACTATAAGAGAGATGAAGCTTTACATTAAAAAAACCCCATCATTTGAGTCAATGACAATGTAATCTTGGGGGGGGAAAAAGACTCATCTCCAAAGACTGTTCACCTAGGCTATGTCTACACTCGCAGCTTCTTGTGCAAGAAATATGCAAATGAGGCTAAGCGTGGGATATCGCAGAGCCTCATTTGCATACCCACTGAGCCGCCATTTTTGCAGAAGAGGCTTTTGCGCCAGAAGGAGCTGTCTACACTGCCCCTTCTTGCACAAGAAAAACCCTCTTGCGCAATGCCGTTATTCCTGAAAATAATCAGCATAGCAGAATTGCTCAAGAGGATTTTTGTTGCGCAAGAAGGGGGAGTGTAGACAGCTCCTTCTGGCGCAAAAGCCTCTTCTGCAAAAATGGCGGCTCAGTGGGTATGCAAATGAGGCTCTGCAATATTCCACACAGCCTTATTTGCATATTTCTTGTGCAAGAAGCCGCGAGTGTAGACAGAGCCTTACTGTTGTTATAGGTTAACACCCAAGATAGTAAAAGAAGTGGTTTTCTTCATTCACTTGTGTTGAACAACACTTCCTTGTTTAGTTTGCTTCCTCTTTTGTTGTTATAGATGAGTCTTTCACATACACTAAAATCGAACTGTTCTATTGTTTTTACATTTAAAGCCA